CCCATCATCGATCGCAAGAAGAACCTCGTCAAGCTTGCCTGGGGGCGAGTACATTGCCCTCGAGCGCCTCGAGTCGATCTACAAGTCGTGCGCGCTCGTGCTCAACATTTGCGTGTATGCGACGAGCAGTGCGTCGAAGCCCATGGCGGTGCGTCCCGCCTCTTTTCTCTCGCGCTCACCCCTTCCGGACCACCACCTCCTCCACTTCCCTCGCTCTCGTTCTCCTTCTACTTCTCCTCTTCTCGGCGACGTCCTGCGCACGGTCACTGACCTTCTTCCCCCAACTCGGCGCCGCCACAACCCGCAGATTGTCGTCCCCGCCGAGCCCGCCCTGCGCTCGTACCTCTCGTCAGCCTCGACGCCCGGCCTGCCCGCCAAGGACGCCGACTGGTCGACGATCTGCAGCAGCAAGGAGGTGCGCAAGGCCGTGCTCGCCGAGATGAACGCGACGGGCAAGAAGGCCGGCCTCAAGCCGCTCGAGGTGCGTCCTCCCTCCCTCTCTCTCTCCTTCTTTTCCTCCCTCGTCCCTCCTTTCCTGCACCGCGGTCGTGTCGATCTCGAACAGCGCACACTCTCTCACCCGTTGTCGTCCCGGTACTGACGACCGGCTCGGCCGATCTTTGCCCCCTCGCCCTCGCCCGCAGACGCTCCAGACGGTCCTCCTCGCCGACGAAGAGTGGACGCCGCAGAACGGCTATACCAGCGCCGCGCAAAAATTGAACAGGAAAAACATCCTGCACAAGTTTGAGGGCGACATCAAGGTGCGTTCTCGAGTTTCCCCTCCCTCGGCGAGTTTAAGAAGGCGAGCGACTGACCCGACCTCTCGAGCTGCCTCGCAGAAGGTCTATCCGTGAGTGGCGGACGTCGAGGCAGTGCGGTATTGTCTTCTGTAGAGTGCGAGGTAGTCTGTGCATCGCCCGCTCGCTGTGCTCTTTGTGTCGCGCTCTCGAGAGGCCGAGAGAAAACAGGAGACGGCTCGATTGTACAACAACACGCCGGACTCTCTGCGCTGCTCGCGTACGCTCACGCCTCCATCGCCGCAATCCGCTCCTCGCTCTCGCGCAGCCGCCGCTCCGTCTCTGCGTCGAGGCTCGCGCCGTCCATGTCCTCGCTCGCGCCCGCCGCCGCGCCCGCCCGGCCCTTGACCTTGCCCGTCGCCGAGGCAGTCGCCGCGCCTTGTCGCCGAGCGCGTGCGTGCGCCCGAGAGGCCGACAGGAGGATGGCGGCGCGGTCGTGCGCCATGGCGGCGTGCTGCGTCTTGCGGATCGTGCCTGGGCGTGCTCGAGCTTGTCAGCGCCGCCACGCTTGCCCCATGGCGCCGAGTGAGAGAGAGAGAGAGACTAGGACGTACCAGAGACGTGAACGACGCGCGCGACGCACTCGACGCCGCCGACCTTGCGCAAGAGGGTGAGAGCGGCCCACAGGGTGCGGTGGTGCTCGCGCGAGACGCGCAGGATCATGGTCGACGTCGACGGCGAGAGGTACTTGACTGTGTTGGTCGACGCGGAACCGTGTCAGCTCTTGGTGCGCGTGCCGAGACAGGGGAGGAGGAGGAGGGGACGCACTGCTGAAGGTGCCACCGACCTCGCCTGCGCCGACATCGCCAAAGTTGACGGCGAGGCTGTCCCGCAGGAGGCTGATCAAGCTCGACTCGGACAGGGCCGGTGGGGCGAATGGGTCGGCGTCGCCTGGTTGCGGCGGGAGGAGCGAGTCGGGGAAGATGAGCGAGACGAGGAGGTAACGGTGCTTGAAGCGCTGTTCCGGGGCCAGGTAGTGTTAGCTTGCTGCGGCTCTGTGAGAGTGTGGCGGGCAGAGACGCACGACCATGGCCCAGGCGAGCTGTCGCTCAGGAGGCTGTCGAGGTCGAGCGACGAGGAGAGGCGGTGAAGGAGACGCCTCGAGGGGGCGCTGTGGTCGGTCGCCGGCGTCCTGTGCGTCTGTAGGCTGTGCTGTGGGTGCTCGCGTGGCCGCTGGTGGCTAGCGGGGAGCTGACGGAGATGGAGCTGGTTGCGATGCGCGAGGTCTCTCTCTCTCTCGCCTCTCGACCACCTCGAGCTCGTCTAGCGCGCATAGGTGCGTCTCTCACGACCGTGTGCACACTCTGGCACCGTTCCAGTCCTCACGTCGGCCCCACAGCTCAGCACTTCAGCCACTCGCCGCTCGCCCATCTTCATCGCCTCGTCCTTCATCTCAACCCCGGTTCGTCCGTCCTTCACCCTCGAGATAGCCGTGCATCTGGCGACGGACCTCGAAACCGTCCTCGCGCATGCCCTGTACCGGCCCTGACCGCTCTCGCCGCAACAGCTCTCCCCTTTCCCCTCCTCCATGTCCGGCCGCGTCCCGATCGGCTCGTTCCTCCTCCTCATCGGCACCGCCACCGGCCTCGCGTACGGCCTCATGGCCGTCACGACCCCGTCCGACCAGCAGTTCTACGACTCGCTCGCGCCCGACCTCAAGCGCAAGGTCGACGCCCAGCGCGCACTCAAGCAGGGCGCACAGAGCGAGCTCGTGCGAGAGAGCCAGGCCCAGCTCGACGCCATCAAGGTGAGCTCCTTTCTCTCTCTCTCTCTCTCTTCCGCAGGCCGCTCGGCTCGGGTCGAGGTCGAGGCCGAGGCCGGGAGTTGACGCGAGCGAGCGAGTTGACCGCTCGCACCCACCTCTGCAGGCACAGAACGAGGGTCCGGTGTGGGCCGACGCGGTCGACCCGCGAAAGAAGTGATCGGCTCGGGTGCGTCGACTTTCATGGGTGCGGCGATTGGGCGTGCAAGTTTGCCCGACCTGACTTTCCCTCGATTCGCGCCCAGACCTCGTCTCTCTGTATCAGCGACCCTCGCAGACTGCCCTGTAATCACACTCGTTCCCGCGCACTCTTTCCCTCGGCCCGCTCTCGATCTTGCCGCGCTCGAGAGGGTACGGGAAGCGCTCGCCGGGCTCGCGCGCTCTCTGCTTCCGGCGCTTCTCTCTCGACGCTGCCACGGGCCTCGCGCACGAGCTGAAACGTGCTGCGCGTTCGACTCAGTCTGCCTCCTCAGCTACGACCCTCGCCGCGCCGTAGCTCCCCATCCTGCGCCCGCCGCCGCCACCGCCGCCCGCCGACGGCCGCCCGTACCCGCCCGACCCGCCGAGCGCACTCGGCCGCGCAAAGTCCCCATAGTCGTCCCCCTCGTGCACCGCAACGACCTCGACGCCCTCGCTCGCGTCGTACGCTCCTCCTCCCGCACCACCGCCGCCGTACATGCCCTCGTCGTCGTCCTCGCCGCCCGCCGCAGCGCCGTACGAGGCGAACGACGGGTGCGTCGAGCCGTACCCGTGCGAGTGCGTCTGCGACGAGTCGAGCGCGTACGGGTCGCCGTCGCCGTAGTAGCTGCGCTCCTGCGCGGGCGCGCTCGCGCCGCCGCCACCGTGGTGGTGGTCGTCGAAGCTCGCGAGTGCGGCGGTGCGGCGTGCGGGACGGGGCGCCGGGGCCGACGGCGGCGAGACGGACGCGGCGGGAGCGCGCGATGCCGAGGGGGTCGTGCGAGGAGGCGGTGGCGCGTAGAGCGGGTTGGGGAGCTTGCCCGAGGTGGACGAGAAGGACGTGAGGCGGTCGTTCTTCTGCTGTGGCGGCGGCGAGCGGTACTGCTGCTGCTGCTGCTGAGGCGGAGCCGGGGCGTGCTGCGACGACGACGAGGGAGGCGGCGGGCCTCGCTGAACGGGCGGCGGCGCAGGGGCGGCGTACGGGTCGTCGTCGTAGGCCTGGGCGACAGGGCGCGCGCCGTCCTGTGGCTTCGGGATGCGGTGCAGGAGGCCGTAGCCGACGCCGCACCCGAGCAGGCCCTCGCCGCCCCAGCTGCGGTTCGGCACGAGGATCGCCTCGCGCGTCACGTCGTAGTCCGAGTTGTAGACGAACAGCCGCAAGGGCTTGTCCACGTGCTGCAGGCGCGTTCGAGAGAGTCAGTATCGGCTCTCGAGAGCTTTCGAGAGTGGCGAGAGCGGAAGGGAGCGAGACGCACCGCCTCGACCACGTCGTAAAAGTCGCCCTCGCCGCGCAGCACGCCGCCGGCGTACCCGACGATCCAGTCGCCGTACGGCACCAAGCCTGCGAGTGTGTTGCGCGGGTGAGCGCAGTGACCAGGGGCAAGATGGGGAGCCGAGTGGGAGAGAGGACGCACCTGCACTCTGAGCCGGGCTGCCCTCGAGGATCTCGAGCACGTGCCAGACCTGGTCGAGCGCGTGATGCGGGTTGCACAGGCGCAGGCTCAGGCCGAGCAGGGACGGCTCGCCGTCGACCGAGCCTGCGGTCGTGCCGGGACCCGCCGCCGCGGACCAGGTGCGCGAGGGAATCACGTAGACCTCTGCGAGCGGGGGCAGGCGGGTCAGCTTGCGCGCAGGTGGTGGCCTGGAGAGAATGGGACGCACCGCGGACCTCCTTGCGCTTGGTGCTGTAGATCTGGAGCGCGACCTCGCCGCCCTCGTTCACCTCGAGGACGTCCGTCAACAGGTCGAGGTCGTCGCCCTGCATGCGCGCGTGCTCGCCGAGTCAGTGCGCTGCGACCGTGCACCTGGAGGGAGAAGCGGACGCACGAGTTGCCTGCCTGCAGCGCCGACGATGAAGTCGAAGAAGGGCTCGATGCCGACCTCGGCGGCGGGCGAGTTCTCGGCGACGCGGAGGACGTGGAAGGCGAGCGTGCTGCTGTTGCCGGTAGACGCGGGCGCATGGCCGTGGCCCGACTGAGGCTGCGACTCTGCCTGGCCCATCTCGCGAGCCGGTGACGGTGGGCTGGTGGGGGGAGCTGGGTGGGTGCTCGCTTGAACGAAAGGGTGGACGGCACAAAAGGCTGGGTCGTGTTCAGCGGCCGGCGCAGGCTGAATCTGACGCGTGCAGGGTGCTCTAGAGCGGACCGCGACAATGGGAGAGTCGAGACAGGCTCCGGAGAGTGGACGTCCGCCGAGGCGCGCGGCGGCCAGCGCGTCGCTACTCTCGTCCCGCAACAAGGAGCAAGTTGGTTCCGCTAGCGGGCAATCGCTACAGTAGCTGGGCCACGGCGGAGACGGGCGCAGCAGGAGCGCCGCTGCCGCCATGACCAGCAAAAAGAGGGCGTGCCCCCACACAGGATCGAACTATGGACCTTTCGCTTACTAGGCGAACGCTCTGCCACTGAGCCATAGGGGCGTGGATGACGGCGCGGAAGAAAAAAAGAACGTATCATAGGAACAGCCGGACAGGGCCAAGCGTGGAACGGCTCTTGGACTCACGCGCATTTACCTAAGCCTCGCTCTTTCTCTACGGTGCAAAGCTCGATCGACCTATGGACTGCGCTCCGCCACCGCAAGCCCCAGCCGCCGCCGCCGTCGCGCCTCGAGCCACCTCCCCTCCCCATCTTCATCAGCTCCTCGTCCACCTCTCGCCTCGCCCCGCCACCTCCCGCCTGCACACGCCAAACAGCTCGACCGACCTCTTCATCCACGCACAAACGCTGTGCGCCCCGTCCATGCATCCGCCGGCCCCTCGGCCACGACTCGGCCTCGACCCACCATCCTCCCACCCTCGCCCACTCGACCTCGATACACGCGGCTTGGAGGACATGGCGGATGGTGCAGGGCGGCTCTGATGCTACTCAGGGGCGTGATGGTACCGTCGCTGGAGCGCCACGGGGGTACGTCGCCGTGAGTCGAACCGGCATTCCCTCCTCCCCCCCTTTTCCCCCTCCTCCTCCCCCTTCCACGGCCCTGCGCTGCTCCGCCTTCTTCATCACGACGAGCGCGCAAATCTCTTGCCGCCGCGGAGTGCGCTCGTCGTGCTGCAGAAGCCGAGGCGCTGCTTCGGCCAACCTCCTCCTCCTCATCGCCTCTGAGCAGGACGCCGAGCTGACTCGCCCCTCGTCGCGCGCAGCTGCCGCCCCTCGACCTCGACTACGTCCCCCGCTCTCACCGCCACGCGCCCCTCGTCGCGCCGGCTTGCGCCATCCGCACCCGCGCCGCCCCCGTTAACCTTCGCCTCCTCTCCCTCGTCCTCCTCCCGACCACCTCGACTGTCGCCAAGCCATCGACGTCGCTCGACCTGCCCTGTGGGCCTCGAGCCCGCTATTTCTCTCTCTACGCGAGCTGACCGCGTCCTTGCACCCCTCGCGCAGCCCCGTCCTGCACCCGCCTTTCGTCGACTCGCCGCCTCGCTTCGACGCTCTAACTCTGCCCGCCTGTCGCCGGCTCGCTCTCGCTGTCAAGCGATATGCCGCCACCCTGCCGACGCTCCCCCTGCCGAGCGCGAGGCGGGTCCGCTCTCCTCTGGCTCGACGGCGCGCGAGTTTCGCTCTTTGGCGCTCGCGCGATCGAGCCGGCTCGTTCTGCGTCTGCTTTCTGCTTCCGCTTCGACGTGCGCGCATTGCTGTGCCTCGAGGCGGTACCGCTGGCGCGTCGAGCGACCCGTCGGTGTTCCGCACCTGGTTCCTCGCTCTGTCCTGTTCCCGCTCGATCTTGCCTCGCAGCTACCTGCCCGCACCCTAACGGTATGCGGGGCGCTTCATCGAGCTCGCTCTCTCTGCTAGATGAGCGGCTGCACGAGCTCGCGGCCGCCTGTCTTAGAAGCTTCCTCGCGCCTCGTCATCGGTCGGTTCACTCTCTCCCTCACTCGGACGAGGCGAGCTGCGCCGAGTCGAGCGGCGAGGAGCGCAGTCGAGCCGGTCCTTACCAGGGCCTCTTCTTCTGTGCTCCGACCTGTAACACCTACAGCCTCTTATTATATAGAGAATATCGTACCGTAGTGCGTTTGTTCGGCCCGGACCGAGAAGCAGGTGCGCCCCTCGCCCTCTCCTCTCTCGCACTCTCTCTCCTCGCCGTCCTGACCTGACGTCGAGCCTCGCCTCGCTCTCGCCCGCAGTTGGCCTTCCTGGCGCTCTCTTTCGGTCGACGGTTCCTGTTCCCCTTGGTCCCTCGCCTCGCCCTTCTCTCGTCGCCGCCCTCGCCCCGATCCTGGTCTGAGCCCTCCTCGCGCCGCCTGTCGCCCTCGCGCGCCCACGCCGTCCACCTCGTCGACCTCGTCGACCCGTCCGTCGCCGACTCGAGCGTTCACCGAGGGGCATGGCCGCCCAACAGCTCGTCGTCCACTCGCCCGACTCGGTGCGTCGCCAGTCGACTCTGCTCGACGAGCCGGCTCGCGGGCGGCTTCTCTCGAGGTGGGCAGAGGCGCGCAGGAGGTGTGTGCGGGGCGATGGGAGGCGGCAGTAGCTGCGCGAGGGCAGTGCAACGCCGCTCGAGGCAAGGCGCCGTACGAGTCCTCGCGACGAGCCGAGAGCAGGAGCGAGAGCGGCGCAGACCTCGAAAGCGCGAGCGTGGTCGCCGAGCTAGATTCGCCGCGAGCAAGTGAGAGCAAGAACGAGCGCGATCGAGCGAGTGGGCGAGCCGTGGCGAGCTGGCTGCGCAACAGTGCGCGCGCGAAGTTGGTCGGCGCCGGCTCGAGGAGGAGGTGAGCCGAGACGACGGGGGCAAGGAGGCCCTGCGAGCGAGCGCGGCTGGGGGGAGGTTGCTCTAGTAGCTCTGCAAGTCCACCTTGGCTGTGCGTTCTGGCCCTACGACAGAATTGCGAGCGAGCAAGCCAGTCGTCCTCCGCCCGACGACGACGACGCCCTCTTCCTCACCACTCGCTCCGCCACCGCCAGAGCAGAGCCGAGGCGCTGTGGACCCTTGAGCACATCTCCACTTACAAGGTGCGCCCCCTCTCTCTGTCCTCCACGGCCTCGTTCGCGCGCGCTGACCCGAATCCTCATCGCGTCACCCGCCCTCAGTCAACAAGCCGCAGCGTCACCTACCCGCGCTCGCTGGTGTGCACCTGTCGTGCGCAAGAACTACCACCGCATCGGTGCGCCCATCTCGCTACTTCTTCGAGATCCCCCTCGAGGGAGCTGACCTCTCGTTCATCTTCAGCCTCCACCAACCTTCCTCCCGCGAGTCGGACGTCTCGCCGCTCCACTTCGCACCGCACACCCGACCCCGAGACCTAGCTATCCAACCGCGTCCTCGCCCTACCGGTGCGTCGCCGCCTCCTTCCTTTCCCTCTTCCTCACACGCACCCTCTGGCCGGCGCATCGCACAACGAGGGCAGAAGCTGACCATTCGCATTCGGTCCTACTTCTTCCTCAGCCTCGACATGTCGCGCGCGTACGACACCGACCACGGAGCCGGAGCGGCGAGGGCGCAGGAGGGGCAGCAGGAGCAAGGTCGCGATGGTGAGGCCGCTGCGGCCGCGGCTCGGGCGAACGCTGCCGCCGAGGCGACCGCCGCTGCCGCCGAGATGACCGCAGCTGCCGCGGAGGCGACCGCCGCTGCCGCCTAGATGACCGCCGCTGCCGCCGAGGCGACCGCCGCCGCCGCCGAGCGCTACAGGGCGTCGAGGTGAGCCAGAGGCCGGCGAAGGAGCGAGGTCGCGCTTTCTGTACAGTGTGCTGTCCCTCCCTGTTTTTGTAAATCACAGTACGTTGCCTGCACGCTCTTGCAGCCTCGAGACGCGAGCGCGAGCCTTCTCCTTGCCAGCTCCGCTCTTGGGAAGGCGCGCTTTGACCCTCGTTGCAGCTCCCCTTCCACGTGTCCTCTCTCGCGCTCTCTCGATTCGACTCAACGCAGCCCATTTCGAGGGGCCGGTTCGCGCTTTTCAGGGGAGGGAAGAGCAGGGAGACGCCGAGTCGGCTCGCCCGACGATCCTGCTGCATGTTCGCTCTCGCTTGCTCTCTTTCGCTCTCGCAACTGTCGGGCCGAGAGACGAGAGGCTGCTGGGCAAATCGCGTGCTCCATTGCGATAGAAGGTAAAGGAAGAAAGGAAAACTAGAGGCTTTTGCGCCGCTCCGCTGCCCGCCGCTCGAACCCGCTGACGAGGTCGAGCTCGCGCCCGACGCTACTGCGGCGCCCCTCTCGTCGCTGCCTCGACAGGAAAGCCTCGACGCACTCGTCGCCGCAGAACCGCCTCGCGTCGCTCCAGTCGCCCGTCGACAGGCCGCGGCACACTGCGACGAGGTCCCGCTCGCGCTCGTACTCGGCGCGCCAGCCGAGCGCCTCGACAGCCCAGCCGTCGGTCCGGACGCCGTACTTGCGCGCCGCGTCGACGACGTCCATGAGCCCGCGCTCGGACAGGCCCGCAGGCCAGAGCGGCGCGCACCACCCGCGCCTCACGCCCGACTCGTCGCGCTCGCTCTCGCCGGGCAGGACGAGCTTGTTGCGGAGGAGGGTCGGGCCTCGATGGTAAAAGTTGGCGACAAAGTCGACGCCGAGGTGATGAAGGTGCTTGAGGCGGGTAGGGCCTTGTACGAGGCGTGAGAGGAGGCCATCGGTGGGCAGCAACGAATGCCCAAAGTCGAGGGATTCGAGGTGCCGCAGGTGGCCGAGGCTCGCCGGCAGTCGGATCGGCGTGAAGCACGCCGTGTTGAGAGAGAGAGACTGGAGGAGAAAGAGTGGCGGGAGGAGGTCGTCGATGGTCTCGCACACCCGGTGCTCTGACGAGATGTCGAGGTGCAGGAGGGATGGGGGGAGGCCGCGGACGACAGGGCGGAGCGCTAAGCTCGTCGAGGTGATCTTGATCTTGGCGAGGTTGGGCGCGACGTCGCGCAATGGCGTGTTCCACAGGGCAAAGTCGGAGTTGATGTCGAGGCTCGAGAGCTGGGCGAGGATCGGTCGGACGGGCGACGCGCCGCTGATGAACGACGGGGGCGCCTCGGTGTCGAGGTTGATGTCCAGGTGGGCGAGGTCGGGGAACCGGCTGAACTGGTTCAGCCAGGCCGTCAAGTCGTCCGTCTTGCCGTTGAGGTCCGTGTCGAGCGTGTTGCCGAAAGTCGAGATGCGGAGCGACTTGAGGCCGCAGAGCTGGACGGGCGTACTCGGGTCGTGTACGACGACGGCGAGAAGTGCTTGCTCGACAGGGCTGCTGCGCTCGCTGTCGAACAAGGACTGGAGGTCGACCTCGAGCGACTGGAGGCGGTTGAGCTCGGTGAAGAGCGCCGAGAGGAGGCTGGCGGCGAGCTCGGGCACGCCGGGCCCGGCGTGGTCGCCTGCGCCGCCTTGACCAAGCCAGTCCGGGAAGTGCCAGGTGCGGAGCCCGAGAGCGCGCACGAGGTTGCCGAGCGGCTCGGACGGGTCCCGACGGCGGTTGCCGACGAGGGCACGCTCAAAGCTGACGAGCTCGTCGTACGACTGGATCTCGATGCGACCGTACAGGATGCGCTGCTGCATTGGCCACAGCCGGCGGCAGATGGGCTTGTGCGCGAGGACGAGGCCGGTCTTGCGCGGGTGGTGCGGGTGGTCGTGCGGGAGCTGCGAGCCGTAGGCGTGCTCGAGGACGACCTCGATGAGCTCGTCGGGGAGGTGGAGGAGCGGGAACAGGACCTTCTTGCTGACGCGCGACGACAGGGCGAGGTCGGCGAGTGGGGACGAGAGCTGGTCCTGGGAACCGCGAGGAGAGGGTGAGCGGAAACGGGACAAAGTGGAGGAGGAAGGTGACGTACCACAGTTTCCATCGCGCGTAGCCGAGCAAGTACTCTGAGGACGAGGCGAGCAGCAAGTGCGACGAGGAGAGAGAGGAGACGAGGCGGTGCTGGGCGGCGAGGACGGCTCTGAGCTCTGAGGCGCGGTGAGAACGGCCTTGATAGTTGTCGAGAGCGTGTACGAGTGGTTCTGGCCCAGCTCTGGGCGGCAAGAGTGCTGCGTGAGAGGCTGCAGAGCGCTCCCTCTGGATCAAGTCGAGCCTCGTCTTCGTCTCTCGCTCTCGCTGCAGCGCTGCGGCCAAGTGCAGACCACCGGCTAGGTCGCTGCCTCTCTCGGCTGCCTCTTGTCCCAGCCCGCGTCGCCGCAGCGAGCCGTCGCCGCCTCGCTCGCTGTCCCCGCTCCCGACCTCGACCTCGACCTCGACCGCACCTCACAGCGCGAGCCCGGCCGCGTAAGGTGCAGCGCGGGCGATCTCGACACACGTGACCGGTCATGCTACCAAGACGGCTCGCGTCGCGCGCGCCGGTTTCCTCGCAGCAGGTGCGCTCCCTCCTCCTCGACCTCGCCCTGGTCAACCCGTGACCTGACCTTCGCCCCGCTCGCAGGATCGACCTCGACATCCTCCGCCAGGCCCTTCTACGAGACGCCGACCTGTCGACTCGCCACACCTCGCCTTGCCCGCCCTCGAGTCGACCGTCCACCCTCGGCCTCGCACTCGTTCGTCCACCACCGACTGGCTCGCATCTCGCGGTCATGGCCCCGGCATCTTCATCATCATCGTCATCGTCGTCGTCGTCGTCGTCATCATTCACCCGCCAGCCTGTCACCGGCAACCTCGAGTGAGCCCCGTCGTTTTCGCTCTTCGGCGCTCGCATGGTCCGCCATGGTCGCAGCCACTCACTGACCCTGCCCCCTCCCACGCCTCCAGACAACGCTCACGTTCCACGTCGTCCTCTACGCCGTGCGCCGACTCGCCCGTCGCTCTTGCGGGCCCGCTGTCCGTCACTCGTCGCCTCGCCCATCGCCAAGAGGCGGCCCGTCTTCTCTGCGGCCCGTCGACACGTCGGGATCTCGGCTTCCAGCCACGCGTGTTGGCGTCGGCTAGACATGCTCTATCCGCGGTGGCCGGCCAACACCGCTCTCTCGACGAGTCGTCGCCCTCGCTCGACTCGCCGGCGCGCCTGATCCGGACCCGCTCGGCCGGCACGTTCGGGCGGTCCCGCCTCGAGCTCGTCTTTGATTCTCGCCCTGCACCCTGCTGCTCCTCGTCGAGCGCGGCCCGGTCGAGCGCAGCGTGGCCCCCTTGACGTCGAGGTGCGTACGCTCCTCCCACCTCTTCGTCCTCTCGAGACTTTCGGCCTGACTCGCCCTTCCGCCCTCGTCAACAGGCTCCGCCGCGACTTTCTCGGTCGGTGCCCGCACCTTGACACGACCCGTGGCAACGAGCTGCGCCGCTCTCTCCCGGGCGCCAAGCCTGTCGATTCGGTCGGTTGGCTCGTCGACCCTGTTAAGCTCGACCGCAACCTGCACTCGCCGGTCAAGCGCTTTCCGGAACTCTTCGAGTCTCGGTTCACGGCGACTCGAGCCAGTCGCTCGAGGCGGCGCCTCAAGCCGAAGCAGGCGCGTCTCTCCCTCATCCTCCCTCGCACTCCCTTCTCGCCGCCGTGATCTGACGTCGAGCCTCGCTCCTCACTCGCCCACAGTTATCGACCCGACCTGCTGGACTCCCGTCCGCCGTGTCTCTCCTCCCTCGCCTTGCGCCCGTTCCGCCCTCGTCGTCGCCTTCGCCTCGGTCCTTCTCTGGATCCTCCCCCTCCAGCCTGACGCCCTCGTACGCCTGCGCGCGTCCAGCTCAACTACCTCTTCGACACGCTCGTCGCCGACCGAGACCGTCGCCGCTACGGCTCGTCGTCGTCGGCGTGTCCCGGGCTCGGCGAGTCGACTGGCGACCCCTTGCCCGCGCACAGGCTCGTCGGCGGCCTCTCTCGTCGGGCCGAGCTACTCGAGGGCAGCGTGCGAGGTGGGAGGAGGTGCGTGTAGCTGTCTGAGGGCAGTGCAACGCCGCTCGAGGTTGTTCTCGTCCTCGCCCTCGGCGAGTCCGGTTCTCGCGACGAGCCGAGCAGGAGCGAAAGCGGCGCAGACGTGGAAAGGACGCGGGTCCACGAGCGAGTCGTGCTGTGAGCGACCGAGAGCAAGAATGAGCGCGTTTGAGCTTGTCGCCGCGAGATGGCGAGCCGGACGAGGAGCAGCGAGCGCGAGAGTTGGAGCGAGGAGGCGGTGCGGCGGACGTCCTGGCCAGGGACGCCCTGCGAGCGAGCGCTGGAGGTAGGAGGCCGTGCATATAGCTCTGCAAGCCTACTCCTGCTCTGTATCCACGCTGCACGGGACAGTCGCGAGTGAGCAAAGCACTCGTCCTCCGACCGGCGACGACGACGACGACGCCCTCTTCCTCCCCACTCGCTCCTTCACCGCTAGAGCTGCTCTTGCACCCGGTGGTCCCTTGAGCGCATCTGCATCTTCGAGGTGCGCCCCCTCTCTCTGTCCTCAACGGCCTCGTTCGCGCGCGCTGACCCGAATCCTCATCGCGTCCCGCGCCCTCAGACAACCTCTGGCCTACACACCGCGCGACGACCACCGCACGCCATCGACCCGTCGAGACAGCACGGTATCGGACATGGACGCCCTTCCCGTGGCACCAGCTCCTGTCGTCGACAAGAACGTGCGTCCCCACGCCTCTCCCTCTCCCCGCGCCTCCCTTCCCCACTTTCCGACGACGCGAGCTGACCTCAGTTGTGCGTCTTACCCCCTGCAGGAGGCGGATATCGAGGCTGCGCTCGTCAAGGTCGAGCAGTTGCTCAAGAAAGCCGAGGTCGACTGGTGGCCTCGCGAGATGATCCCGGGCGCCCCTGAGCAGCTCAAGCTCCTGACCAAGGCGTCGGTCGCCAACAAGCTCGTCCCGGTCATCAAGTGGGTCGTCGGCGTCGACGCGGCCGGGAACGCGCTCAAGCTCACGCTGCCCGGCCCGACCGAGGTCCTGAGACGGTGGATGGCGTTCCTCGAGGCGTTCACCGCGACCGGCATGAGCCCGCAGTGGGCTGTCAAGTCGCTCGCCTCGGCGCTCAACATGGTCAAGGCCAAGTTCACGGCGGACGAGGTGCGTCGGCCGTTCACTTTCCTCGCCCTCTCCCCCTCTGTCGCCCGCGCTGACCCTCTGCCCTCGTACCCCGCGCAGGCCGCCGCCGCCGCCAAGGACAAGGAGGAGAAGGAGCGTCCGGCCCGCGAGGCCGCCGAGCAGGAGCAGCGCGAGCGGCACGAGGAGCAGGAGCGCCGGCTCGCCAAGATGGAGAGGACGACCGAGGCCGCCAACTTCAACTCGGAGGTCGCCGTGCGCATCGCGACAAAGAGCCACAACATGACGCTCAAGGACACGCCGCGGCCCAAGTTTGCCGCGTCGCCGAGCCGGCCTGGCAGCAACGCTGTCGCAAGGTCGCGCGGGCCGGCGTCCGCGTCGCCCCTCTCGCGCTCGTTCGGCGCCCTGTCGCTCGCCGCCGCGGCCCCGTCGTCGCCCGAGGCCTCGACTTCCTCGTCCTCGTCCTCGCCCTCGCCCTCGCCGGCGCCGTCGCCCTCGTCCTCGCGCGCCCTCGGCCCGCGCCGCCGGACTACGTCGATCTTCGGCGGCTCGCCCGCGTCGAACGCGCACGCCTCGTTTCGCCCCGACCCCACTCCCACCTCCTCGTCCCCCTCGCCGTCGTCGTCGTCGACTCCCGACCTCGCTCTCGGCGCTCGCGCTCCCCCGCACCGCCACGCTCCCTCGAGCGCTCCGCTCCCGCCGTCGGCCTCGTCGTCGCAGCAGGCGACGTTCGGCGTCTCGCCCGCGCTCGCCACCCCGCCGACCTCTCGCCCGGCGCCGTCGCGCCACTCGTCGCGCCACCCGGCGTCGCGGTCGTCGTCGTCGCGCCCGTCGGTCGCCGACTCGCGAGCCGCCCCGACCGCCGCCGCTCGTGTCGCCGCCACGCCTGCCGCTCTCACCTCGAGCGCCAGCACGGAGGCGCAGGGCAAGGACCGTGTCAAGGTGCACAAGGTCAAGCGCGAGGTCGACGAGCGCGAGCACGAGCGCGAGCCGAAGGTCAAGGTCGAGGACGTCGAGGTCAAGCTGGAGGACAACGAGGCCGACCGCAAGCCCAAGGTCAAGGCCGAGAGCGACGATGCCGAGCACGAGGCCATGCTCAAGGGCACGACCAACGTCGCGCGCGAGCAGGGCGCTCGCACCGGCGGCCGCAAGTCGTGGGGCGACGTGGGCCGCGGTTTCCCGAGCGGCGAGCGCCCCGGCGAGGCGTCGTCGGCGGCAGCAGCTGTCGTGCCGCACAGCCCGTCGCCGGCGTCGTCGTCCTCGTCGTCGTCCTCGTCGTCCTCGTCGTCCCGCTCGATGGCGAGCACACCGTCGCGCCCCGCCCGCCCCAAGCCCAAGTTCAAGACGGGCCCTAACCTGCGGACCATCGCCACCCTCAAGTCCGCCAAGGCCACCGCCGCCAAGACTGCCGCCGAGAACGCCGACGCTCGCCCCGGGCGTGCGACGTGAGCCATCGGCTCTTCCTTTCCCTGCTCGTCTCGTCCCGTTTTGCCCTCTCGCCCCCTCTTCTTGTAGAACCACCCCGCTTATACGTGTCGTTGCTATTCCATTCTAGAAGTGCCCTGTCCATGCGTCTCTGCAGCGTCGAGAGCGCGAACGAAAGCTCGTCGTGGGTCGTCGTCGTCGTCGTCGTTGGCGCGAGCCCTCCTCTCCAACTCTCGTTGTCGTCCGC